TTTTTTTTTTTTTTTTTCGGTTTCTTTGTATGCCTTTTGATCTTTTGCTGAAAACTGGGCAGCTGAAGAAAAAACACTTTCCCAGCCTTTGAAGATTGGCTTCATGCATTAGACCATCATGTATTATCCGGTCATATTCTGTGCCTGGGATCAGCTCAGCATGAAGGTTTGAGTTATTCTTGGGTATTTCTAGGCATACTTGCTTTCTATCTCTTTGTCTCTCTGTCTCTCTGTCTCTCTCTCTCTCTCTCTCTGTGTGTGTGTGTGTGTGTGTGTGTGTGTGTGTGTGTGTGTGTGAGTATATTTGATTCCCCAAATGCATGGCCCAAATTCATGACCCAAACCATGTTTCTTTTTAGAAAAACCCAAAGAATACAGTAGGCTTAAAATGTGCTTAAACAACATTGCATGAAAAAATTTTTTAAAAGAACAGATTCCACTTTAAATTGTCTAGATAATTTATTGATGCTTTCTGTAGACTACAAAAAGTTATAGACAGCACACAACTCAAAAAGTTTAGGCCAGGTGTGGTGGCTCACACCTGTAATCCCAGCACTTTGGAAGGCCAAGGTAGGCAGATCATGAGGTCAGGAGTTCAAGACCAGCCTGGCCAACATAGCCAACATAGTGAAATACCATCTCTACTAAAATTACAAAAAAAAAAAAAAAAAAAAAAAAAAAAACTAGCTAGGTGTGGTGGCATGCAGCTACTCTGGTGGCTGACACAGGAGAATCGCTTCAACCCAGGAGGCAGAGGTTGCAGTGAGCCGAGACCATGCCATTGCACTCCAACCTGGGTGAAACAGTGAGACTCTATCTCAAAAACAAGTTTGGTACCAGCCTAACTACCAGAGAATGTACCCAGATTTTTTTAAATCCATAATTGTATTCGACAAAGGTAAGTACAGTTTTTATTTTAAGTAATGGTACCTAAGTATTCAATACTCTTCATATGCCTGTAAAAGTATTTATGGTTATACAGCTAAAAGCCATATACCTATAACCTCTTTATAAAACTCTTGATAGTTGGCAAGACTAAATCATATATAAAATAAACATATAATATCTGGAATTATTATTTTTGATAAAACATAACTTGATCAAAAGTGCTAACAAATTTGTATAAAAATAATTAAGTATGTTAAGATTTCATTGACATTTCAAACTACATTGGAGCTGGGCATGATGGGTCATGCCCATAATCTCAGCAATCTGGGAAGCTGAAGCAGGCAGATCACTTGAGGCCAGGATATTGAGACCAGCCTGGCCAACATGATGAAATCCCATCTCTAAGGAAATATAGAAATGAGTTGGGCATGATCGTGCTTACGTGTGATCCCGGATACTGGTGAGGCTGAGGCACGACAATCGCTTGAGCTTGGGAGGTGGAGGTTATGGTGAGCTGAGATTGCACAACTGCACTCCAAACTGGGCAACAGTATAAGGCTCTGTCAAAAAAAAAAAAAAAAAAAAAAAAACTGCATTGGAGTGGTAAACGCATGGGAGGGAGAGGTCAAGGAAAAAAGATTGATATGGAGAATCCACGTTGTTTTTTACAGAAATATTAAAAGCTGTCTAAAGGATTCTATCCAAAATAACACAGAACTGTACAGAGATATCTAGTAAATAAGAAGCTGTGAAGGTTTGTTGCTCTGAAAATCACATCTGATTTCACAAAAAATTTATCTGTCAAGAAGTAAATATACAATCAGAGATACAAACAATTCTCTGTCTTATAATGGCAATTTTCTTGTAATAAATCCTAGCAAGATTTTTTTTTCATTATATATATTATAACCTGTGCTCTCTTGTTTCAATTGCAGTTTGGAAGCATTTTGTTGAGGCTTCGTGGTAAAACTTGTGTTACATTAGCTTGGCTTCCGGGATCTAAATGTATGAAACTATATAAGTTGATTTTATCACAAAAGAGTGTACATCTCCTAACAAAAAAAATGTGAAATACATACAACTATTTTAATACAATAATCATATTCTTTCTATTATTATAATGCCAACATTTTCTTAGCTTCACTCTAAGAACCCTCGAAATTGTGGAATTCTGTGTTAAAACTTGAAACAAATAAATTGGGCTGCATATTTTAGCACCACAGAGTGCTCATAGTAGAACTAGCCTTATTATGGTTTAAAATATCTATATCAATTTTAATGGGTATTTAGATAAACCACTAAAAATATAAATTTTTAAATATAATCTGTGGCACAGACTACAAAATTAAATATTTACATGCATATCCTATAAGTAAATGTTTAACCTGATTTTCTGACATAATTACACTCCCAAATTTACTGATTTTTTAAAATCTCATACTCCTAAAATTTTTTTAAAAAGAGAAAAATGGGAACTTTACACATACTAAACAAATGCATAGCATAGTAGTTAAACACATCTGATTAGATGTCAGACAGATCTGAATTCAAATTCTAAATCTACTGTTTATTAATTATGTGATATTGGCCCAGTTACTTTACATATCTAAAATCAGTTTCCTCATGTGTAAAATGGGAATAATAACAGTATCAACTGTATAGGGTACAAGATAAAAAGTGGTAATGTACTTAGCACATTGCTTGCCATATGTTAGGTACTCAATAGGAGTCAGTTGCAAGTATTGTGTGTTATTTTTTTTTAGTATTATTGCTATAAGCCAGTATTAATGTTATTACTAAGATTATCACCTATTATTACACTTTTGTTGTCGTTTTCCTTGAAAATGCATTGAGAAAAGGACTAGTGCTAAAACATAATTTTCAAAAAGTCAAAATCTTGGCTTTCATACAAATATAAAATGACACATTTTATATATTTAACAAAATATCACATGTACCCCATAAATGTGTACAAATATTATATGTCAATAAAAATTTTGAAAAATATAAAATGAATACGTTAAACATTTTATGTGATTCATAGATGAAGAAAACTATTATAAGATGTTAAAAAAGGTTCAAAAGAGTATTTAAATAAAAGGTACTTAGACAACTATGAATGCTGAAATAATTTATCAATAGATACAAAACTAGTTGAAATCATATAGAACAAAAAAAGGTAATCTTTGGGAGTCATTATTTCTACATTGTGACAATCAATTCTATTTCTATCAGGCAAAATGAATTTGTAATGTTATATAAAAAATCACAAGGAAACTCTGTTTCTTACAGCTTAACTTCCACACACGCAGAGTTGTAAAATAGCGTTGTCAATAGAAAGTCAATTAAAGATGCACCCTCTATAGAATCAGATTATCCTCATGTCCATGTTTTGAACAATTTTTCTGATGCTATTTTTTTTTTTTTTTGGTATGTGCTAAAACACTTTTGGCCTACCCAATTACTTACGATAATAGTTTAAATTAAAGGTTTTTAAAACCATCACATCAGTTGGGCCAGGGATCACTATTACTATAATGTTAATGAGAAAATTGAGGCAAATAAATCAAGGAAATGATTCCTAATTACTCTAAGTGGGAAAATAAGAACATGACTCATTCTCTTGACTTCAGGCTCAATTTTATCTCCAGTAGAATATATATCCTTCCATTCAAAGTAAGGGGAGACAGAAAAGCAAAAGAGAAACAAGGAAGAGAAGCAATGATATTTTAATTTTAATATGTGGTGGCTACCTTTGTCTTTAATAACTGCTTCTATGTATCTTCACAGATGATAACCATATTACCAATTAGTTTTTTCTTCAAAAGACCCAACATTCCCCAAACTCCTCTTCTTAATCAAGCAGTATCCAGATAATAATGTTACCCAGATTTTGAGCACTAGTTACCAAGCCCATGCAGAAAAATCTTTGGTCTATGAGTTCTGGTTAATGATTCATATATGTGTGTACCCTGACTGTCAGCTGAGTGAAGCATCAATTAACAATAGCTATTGTTTGGAAGATTTGGCTTAGCCAGAGCATGTAGCTATGGATTTTCTCGTTCTGAGTTTTACTATAACATCTGAATTTAAAGTGATATGCCATATGACACACAATGATATAGAATTTAGGTTGTCTGAATTAATGCTGATTTCAGATAGTATTTTTAAAAACCTAGGTGTGAGACCAAAGTCAGATGGAAGCTGAAATCAGATGATTTAGAATATCATCAAAGAGATACAAACAATGGTTGGGGGGGTAATACAAATATAAGTAGATCAGTAGAAAGTGATAAATGAAAATATCTTGTAAAACAAATATTTTTTCATTAGGCTTTTGTAAATAGGCAATATAAAGTCAGGGAGCATTTTTGTATAATTATGAATTTTCTTCATTGGTCACCTTTTAGATTTTAGTGTTATGTATTTTTTAAAATAAGCTTCAAAGATTAGGAAAGAATTTCTAGAAAACATTTTAACATTACTTACTGAATTATTTTTCATTTTGCTTACTAAAGTGGTTTTGGCATAAGGAGTTAATTTCAGATTAAAATGGAAAACAATAAACCTTGACTCCATGGAGATAAATAAGAACTCCCAGCAAGGAAAAACACAGGATAAGTCTATAACCATTCTCTCTTCAAAAAGTATTAAAACCAAAGTACTACATTTCATAAAGCAAAAATAAAAAGGCAATTATATTCAGGTTTACTTTAAAATATGAGTTCTCATATAAAAAGGATCAGGCATCTTATGTATAACTTCGACAAGTAAGTAAAAAAAGAAAAACAAAAGCTCTTCAATCAGAATACTCAATGAGAGGAGGCATTTTTTGTATAATGCCAGGATCACAATATGTGGAATTTCCTCCAAGTTTATCTGAGTATGGACTAATGAAGCACATGGTATCATGGAAACAAAACGTTTTCAATATGCTTTGAGAGACACCTAGTGGCTGAAGAAAATTTTGTCATGTACATATCCATAATACATTTGTATAAAGTGTTTTTAATTCTCTGTTTCAGAGAGGTATACATTTTGAGAATGTCTGTTATTTTCAATTGTAACTCTATTAGACTTTTTCTCCAAATTTTCTTTCTAAATTTCTTAAGGTATGATCCAAAAAGTGATTCATGGTCAACTGTGGCACCTCTGCGTGTTCCCCGAGATGCTGTTGCTGTGTGTCCCCTTGGAGAAAAACTATATGTGGTTGGAGGATATGATGGACATACTTATTTGAACACAGTTGAGTCATATGATGCACAGAGAGATGAATGGAAAGAGGTATTCAAATAAAAATATTCAAATAACTCTATTTCAGGTTTTAAAAAGATTTTAAAACATATTTTTGAAATTAATTGTATTCTCTTCTTTAGGTCCCAACAAGATCTTTTAGTGAAATGTATAGTGTGCACTCTATCTATACCTTAGAGAGTTATTAGTTGATATAGTTAATTATTAGCAGGACCCATCAATACTTACATAAAAGGGGAAAGATCATTCTCTTGACTTCATGAAAGCATTCCCTTTAAAGAAAATAAGCAGGTCCAATAAAACACTTCAGTAATAAATAAATAAAGCACTTTACCATGGCCAACTTTGTTGGGTCTACCACTTGCAAGGGTTTGTCCTGCAGACTCTGACTTAATGATGGATAAATAAATTTACTCACACCAGAATACCATGAATGAGCAGGTTGGGGTGTCCGGGCCACTAACAGACACTTGAGGAGAGTGCTGTAAAGAGACAGCAGCTGCTGGCCCCAAAGCACTGGCCTCTGGCCTTTATTCAGCACACATTAAATGACAAAGCTTTGAGTTAACATCACTAGAGTGAAGAGATTAAATGACAGGTTCCAAGGCCTGAAGCAAACACCATTAGTGGGTAATATCCCTGGTCGACCTTCCCCCAAGAGAGTCATCTGGAATGATTAAAGGTTAGTTTATAGGACCATGTGAGTAAACAAGTTATTCAGATGTCCCCCACATTTCCTATTTACTTTTCTCATTAATTAAAGGTAAAGGGGATAGAGCTGCCTTCAGCCAAAATTTCTGCCAAAACTATGCAAACTTCTCAGACTTCCAAGAAGGTTTGTGACTATACTTTATAATTTTCTCTAATAATTTTCCCTTAATATTTTTGCCACCTCCATGACTGAACTCCCACACAACTTTTTATGTGTATGTTGTGACCTGAGAACAAAAGGGTAACATACTCTTCCACAAACATCTGCCCTTTTTATTGGCTGGCACCCAGAAGAAAAGCCTTCAGTCTTTACCATATAGAGACTGTGTAGACTACAATACTCGTAAATTAATCAGTCAATCAATAATTAAGTAAATGCTAAAGGACCAGAATTAAAACCTCTCAAAAGTGCTGGGTATCTAATAGAACGAATTTCGAGGAGATACAGAAAATAGTATTGAAATGGCGTCTTCAAGATGTTAAAGGTAAATTTGACTCTTTCAACTGTTTTGCCAGTGATAGCCCTAGATTTATTCTAAAATATTTAATAATACTTTGTAAATTAAATGATGAGTTAACAAAAGACATAAAATATGGTTAACTCTTTACCATCTCTACAAACAGGCAAACCTTGTATTTGGTACCTAACTTTATCTTCCTTTCTACTGACTTCATGCTAGTATTCTACAGGGTACAGCTGGCTATTGCTCTAAATAAATTGGTGCTAATACAAGGACAGCTGATAATGAGTTTTTAATCTCTCTCCTCCAATAATCTGACTCATCAAGACTCGGAAACCCTCAAATGTTACAATGTAGGTAGCTCCTATTTTATCAACACTTAGGACCGACCAGAAATGGAAGAAAAAAAAATATCATGCAAGGGGTTAGGTCAAATACAATCAATATTCAAGATATTTGACCAGCTTGTGGGATTTACTTTTCTGAAGATGGTAGACAAGTAGTTAAGAGTCCTATATTATATTTCTGGCTGTGTCACTGTTTCATTGTGTGATCCTGGAAAGAGTGAAAGAGAACTAACAGATAGTGTGATTGTTACTACTAAGTGCAAATTGTCATTCATTATCTCACTCAACCATCACAAAAGCATTGAAGGGTTAGTATAATTAGCTGTAATTTTTTTTTTTTTTTGAGATGGAGTTTTGCTCTTGTTACCCAGGCTGGAGTGCAATGGCGCTATCTCGGCTCACCGCAGCCTCCGCCTCCTGGGTTCAGGCAATTCTCCTGCCTCAGCCTTCTGAGTAGCTGGGATTACAGGCACATGCCACCATGCCCAGCTAATTTTTTGTATTTTTAGTAGAGATGTGTTTCACCATGTTGACCAGGATGGTCTCGATCTCTTGACCTTGTGATCCACCCGCCTCGGCCTCCCAAAGTGCTGGAATTGCAGGCGTGAGCCACTGCGCCCAGCCAGCTGTAATTTTTTAAGCGAGAATATTATCAGAGAGATGAAACTTACTTAAGATCACCTAATTCTCAAACTCAAGTTTTTACTATTCTAAAGGCTGTGTTCTCTCCACCACACTACACTGTTATCCAGGCTGCAGTTTATCTCATCTTTAGACAAGGTGATGTTAGGACTTCTTCAACTATATTGAATATAATATTCTATATTACACTAAAATCAGAATTCCAACAATGTTTTGTTTCTTGTTTTTTTAGGAAGTTCCTGTTAACATTGGAAGAGCTGGTGCATGTGTTGTAGTGGTGAAGCTACCCTAAAGCTATCTTAATCAAATGGAATGAAACGGGGTAATTTCGAGAAATTGAGTAGGACAAGGGGAGAAAGAAATATATGTTCTTTCTTCTGCGATTAATAATCAGACTGGAAAATTGTTGTATCATTTTAATATGTAGTTATAATTGCTTTCATTTGTGAAGCCAAAATGTTTTTAAACATGAATTACATATGATTATTAAGTGTATGTGTTATCGCACCTGATAATATAAAAGGAAATCCAATAGTCTAGATTTAGCCCCATTACTGCAAAATGCTAAAATACTTAATGAAAATTGATGATGGCCACAGTGTGCAAGTTATAAAAACATTAATACATTTCAAGGTAAGAGCCTTAGAAGTTAAAAACATTTTCCATTTTTTTAAAAAATATATACTATTATTATCTGGAACATAGAAATATAAAAGGTAACATCTAAAGCTTAAAATAGAAAGTCTGATTTTCAGTAAGCCATTATTCTCCTATTCATATAATATCCCAAAGAGCTAAACAATTTCTCACCTTTACCAAGAGGAAAGCTCTTACTGTGGTTGAGGCTAAAAAAATATATGGCTCATTAACATAATTTGTTATGCTGATTACGATATGTCAAAATTTTTACAGGTTTACTCATCTGCCAGAGCACACATATAAATTTGATATTTCTTAACATATTGCCTTGTTAAATTTGTGACCAGTAAAATGATATAATTTCATATACACAGCCTATACAATAAAATAATGAATATTTATCATATTGATACAAACTGTGACCTCAGCTTCAGAGTGTCAGGGCCTCACTTGTATAGAATGTAATGTTCTCCTCAAACATTTATGCAAACTCCGTAAACACATATCATTAAGTTAAACAAGTTTTCAAAAACAAAACGATTTTTAAAGTACATAAAATTGAGGATATTATTCAGTGTTAACCCATGGAAACACCAAAATATTCAATAAGCCTGGTCAATTCTATAGATATATTTTAGCTACCAAACATGCTTTTCTGTTATTGTTATATTATCCAGTAGAAAATGTTAGGATATGTGTGCTATGCCAAAAAAAAAAAGTCTTTTTAAATTTAAAAATAACAAAAATGCCTAGTTGAACAGTATTTTATATGTAATTCTTCCATTTATTGTATTTAATTATACAACTAATATGAAATATTGAAAAAAAACTTAATGAAAGTAACTTTTCAAGTAAATGCACAATTTTAGAATTTCTACAATAAGTACTTTTAAATAACTTTGTATTGCAGATTGTGAAATCAAATAAAATCTGGAGAAATGCTTATAAAATATACTACTAGCTTTTAAGTTTTAAGAAAGAACAATGTAGGTTGTACACAGATACTTGTAGTTTGACAAATTGAATATAAATAGACTTTATTTCCTCTCATTACAGTGTGGCTTTAGAATATATCAAGTACAACCTAAATAGGCTTTTTGATTTTACATTTTCTATATCACTAATACACTTAAATACAAAAGTAAAATTCCACTCCTCTATTTCTTCTTACACCTGCCATTGTCTCTAATCCTAAATAGAGAGCTATAGATTTCTTCAATTCTAGAGGTGAAGATAAAGACATAGAGAGGCTGTGAAACATACATACAGGCCTGTTAGGTCTTTTGAATTCACACCTTATTGAAATCAATGTAGAAGTAGAGTTACCTAAACCTTTATTGCTGATGCACAGCTTGGCCTGTTAAGTTAAATGGGGGTATCAACCAGTGGAAAAGATCAAAGGACCTATTGCAGCCTAGCTTGCCAATCCTCCAGTAAAAACTAGGTGCTATCAATAGGCAGATTGTGTCTAGAGTCATGCCTGGACAAGAAAGTGAAAGTTGAATACTCTCTTCTCAATGGCATAGCTGGACTTGCTTCAGTGTGATTAAATATTGACTTGTAGAAGAGACATGCATGTTTCACAGGGCTACCACTTCATAGCTGCATTTAAAAATTGTGTTCAAGCCAATATGGCTGCTATGGTTTGAATATTTTTCCCTCCAAAATTCATGTTGAAACTTAATTCCTAATGTAGCAGTATTGAGAGGTAGGGCCTTTAAGAGGTGATTGGGCCATAAGGGCCCACCTAAATGGATTAATCCATTCATGGATTAATGTATTACTAGTGACTTTATATGAAAAGGAAGGAAGAGTGACCTAAGCTAGCATGCTTAGGGAGTGTCATATGCCCCCTGGCCATGTAATGCTGCTGTGTGTTACCTTGGAACTTACCTGACATCCCTTACCAACAAGGCTTTTCCAGATATGGCCTCTCAACCTCAGACTTCTCAGCCTGCCTAACTCTAAGAAATAAATTATTTTTTCTCTATAAATTACCCAGTTTCCAGTGTTCAGTTTTAAGCCTTAGACAATGAACTAAGACAATGCTCTAGATGAGCTGCCAAAATCTGAGCAAATGTGAGCCATCAGAATAGAGACCGGCAGAGGCCCAGGACAAGAGGGAGGTATTTATATATTCTTTCAAGAGTATAGGGCTCACACGTTTACTATACTGAGATTGGAAAGACAATGTTGCTTCTTGGTTTTTTTGTATAATCACTATGATCATGTTCAGGATTCCCTACTCTGCAACTCTTGGCCTGCATCATGATGATTCTTCAATACTATCAGCTACCTTCCCTGTATTTCCACAGGGCATGCAAGAACTTCTACAAAACTTTACCATACAGAAGCTGAAGGAGACTCTGGAGCACTGACTTCAGATCCTTCCTCTGCACAACAATGCAGTCTATTAGTCTGACACAGGTGTGGCTGTTGCCCCTTTTTGATATGGAGGGAGCTCTGAAAGGGAGTTTCCTTCTGGAGTTCCAAATGCAATATAGATACTAACCCCTCTGATTCTGGATTTTGTTTCAAGTTCTCTAACAAGACTCTTACCTTGAGATCTTAGACTAGGTAAAGAAAATAAAAAAGGCCATTGGATATCCTCAACTGTCCCCATTCTATGTCCACTTTCTCCCAATCACATCACCTGAGGTAGAAGGGACAGATTTTTCAGTTGCTATTTCTCTTTGCATTGAACTTTCTTTGCATCCTGTCGACATTGCTGAAGACACTTAAGTCCCAACCTAAATGATGGAAGGAGTATCTCCCATGTTGTCTGTGGAACATACCATATGATCTACCACAATTTGCAAGCATGGATCTCCATTTCAAAGAAACATTTTTAAAATGTTTGTAAAATTTCAAATATCTCACCACAATAAATTATGGGTAAGGTGATAATATGTTTAATTAGCTTGATTTAATCATCCCACAATGTATACATATGCCAAAATGCTATATTGTACTGCATAAATATATATAATTATGATTTATGAATTACAGTAATATTAATAAAAATGTTAAAGCTTTTTTCTCTCTTGACAATGCCTGTTTTTCAAGATTATGGCCTGCTACAGACTAGGAAAACATCCTGTTCGTGGTGCTAAAAGTTTAATGTTGACACTCTCTTTTTTTCTGTCATAATCCTAATTCCCTCCCTTAACACACACACACACACACACACACACACACACACACACACACACAAACAGCAAATATAAACAATGAGGGAAATGGGCACATATGGCTAAATATGGGGAAGATTATAAATGGGTAAATATTAAAAAATAAAAGCACATTAATATCTTTCAGATATTAGCCCCTTGACATAAACGTATATTAAAATCTACTGTGTTTAGTACTCTAGTTATGCATACTAATTAAAACTAAGTTTATGAAATTTGTACCAAATCCAATCCTATAAAACTGGGATTATATTTTAAGTAATGGAGAATCAGAATTAAATGACCTTACCTATACAAAAGCCACTTCAATTTGCCAAATTTACATTTCATCTAAGGCCATGGAGACCTTCATTTAAATAGCTCTGTTTCATATGTTAAATTCAGTTTATAGCTGAGTGGTTTTAAAAGCCTAACTGGACCAGAACTAATTATATTTAACCAGAATGGAAACACATGAATTCTGGCCATCAAATCACAGCTAATCTTATTTTAAAACAAACCAAGAAAGATAATATCAGATAGAGATCTTTGAAAGCCATATCTTCACAAATCCGCTTAGACTTGTTTCAGTTTCGTCAACTCTGCATAATAGGATGAGGCTGAAGAGCCAGTCAGGCTTAGAAAGTTCATATGAATTCATAGAACCATCCTGGCTAATCCAATGCATAGTGACTTGCCCAATTGAGACAAGGTCTGAGCCAGTAGACACAGACAATTATTTTCCTCAAAATATAATCTCTTTGGATGACTTTTAGTTTTATTCATTATAGTATCTTCCAGTGTCTGTCACAGATTCTAATACAAAGTTGGTGTTCAGTAAATAATTGTGGAAAAAAATAAATGAATAGATTTTTGATGGTGTTAAGGACCAAGCATTTTACAAGAATGGGATTCAAATAACAGCACTGGAAACATAGCAAATAAGTAAAGGCAGAGGTCTGTCTCTCTGATTCTGTCCACAAATCTATACACACATTAAAAACACAGAGAGATGAGATAAAATAATACAAAATTTAGGTACATAGCTACACTCCATAGAAATAAAGGCAAATCTTCAGATGCTAGGAACTCAGAAGGAACTTAGAAAATAATAATAAACTCAGATGGTAATAGAGATCATGCTGGAGTTAATGAACTTAGTTATAACCACTAAAGGCACAAATTTTAACACCAATATTTAGACAAGAATCATTAAGACATGGTCTTGAGACTTCTCCCAGGTGAATAAAGCCAGGAACATCCAGAAGTGGACACTTTAAATACTTATAACAAAAATTCATTGAGGAGGTAATATAGCAGATAAGACACAAATGAGAAGATAATAAACCAGAGGGAAGACCTGAGTACACTACACAGAGTAGAGCAAAAAAGTTTCATAATGGGAAATAATTTTTTTAAAAGGTTAAGAGGAGTAGAAGATAGAATGAGATGGTCACATTTGAGATTCTTCACATCTAAAAGTACATTGATCTTTAGAAACTAACTCTAAAGTTTATATGGCAAAGCAAAATACCCAAAATAGTCAACACAAAATTAAAGAACAAAATCAGAGGACTGGTACAACCCAACTACAACTTACTATACAGCTACAGGAATCAAGAGAGTATTAAGCTTGCAAAATAAGAGACAAATAGATCAATGGGATAGAATAGAGATCTTAGAAACAGACCCACATAAATATAGTCAATGGACCTTTAACCAAACACCAAAGGCGACACAATGGAGAAAAGATGGGCTTTTCAACAAGTGGTGCTGGAAAACTCAACGTCTATATTTAAAAAATGAATCTAGACAGATATTACACCCTTCGTAAAAAGCAACTTAAATTTGATCACACATCTAAATGTAAAACATAAACCTAAAATCGCCTAAAAGATAAATAGGAGAAACTCTAGACCACCTCGGGTTTGGTAATCACTTTTTAGACACAACATTAAAGACACAATCTATGAAAGAAAGACTCGATAAGCTGAACTTCATTAAACTCAGAAACTTTGCTCTGTTAAATACACCGTCAAGAGAATGAAAGGAGAAGCCACAGACTGGGAACAAATATTTGCAAACTGCGTGTTTGATAAAGGACAGTTATCCAAAATATACAAAGAAATCAACAATAATAAAACAAACAGCCTGAATAGACACTGTCTTAATTTGGGCTTCCATAATAAAAATATCATGGCCAGGTTGGTTTATAAGTAACAGAAATTTATTTTGTGTTTAAGATTGCCAATTTCTATTTGTATCTTTACTTAGTGAAGAGCAGAAAGAAGGATGCTCTTTCAGGATTCTTAGAACTGTATTAATCCTGCTCATGAAGGTTCTGCTCTCATTAAATTCTACTTACCTTCCAAAGGCTTCACCTTCCAATATCATCATCTTGGAGGTGGGAACAATTTTAACATATGACTTTGGAGGGGCACAAACATTCAGTCCATAACATTCAGCTCCTTAACCCCCTCCCAAAATCATGTCCTTCTCATATGCAAAATACATTCATCTATTCCAACAGTTTGAAAACTCTTAACTCTTTCCAGAATCAACTCAAAAGCCTAAATTCCCATGTTTCATCTAAATATCTAAATCAGATGTGGGTGAGACCCTAGGTGTGACATATTCTGCAGCTAATTTGCCTTCAGTTGTGAACTTATGAAACCAAACATGTTAATTTGCTTATTAACATATGACAGTGGGACAGGCATAGGAGAAAGTCCCATTCTGCAATGGAGAAGTAGGAAAGAAAAAAAAAAAAAAGGAGTGACAGGTCATAAGTAAGTCCAAACTCTAAGGGAAACTCCATAAGATTTTAAGGCTCAGGAATAAAGCTCTTTGGCTAGATGCTATGCCCTCCAGGCCCAGTAGGGATGAAGTTACCAACATCGATACATACTGGGGCAAAGGTCTAATCTTCTGGATCCACTGTAGCAGAGGGTCCCAACTTTCGGACCCACTTAAGTGATGGTCTTGTCTCCAAAGCTTTGCTTGGCAAGGGTTTGTTTTCTAAGGCCCAATATTTTATGATACTATTTATATTAATGTTCAGAATAGGAAAATGTATAGAGACTTAGGGTAGATTAATGGTTGGCTAGGGGCTGGAGATGAGGGCTGAAAGGACATAGGAAATTAGTGAATGTTTACGTTTATGGGGTTTCAGTTCATGGTAATGAAAATGTTCTAAACTAAGATTGTGTTTATGGTTACACAACTCCAAATATAATTTTTAAAACGTGGAACCTAACATTTCAGTGGATGAATATTATGCTATATGAATTTATATTTAAATAAAAATCTGTAAAAACTTCATCATGTTTCACATTGCAAACCCCGATTATTTTTTCTTCTTCTTTTTTTTCTTTTTCTCTTTCTTTCTTTCTTTCCTTTCTTTCTTTCTTTCTTTTCTTTCTCTCTCTCTCTCTCTCTTTCTTTCTTTCTTTGTCTCTTTCTTTCTTTTGAAACAGGATCTCACTCTGTCACCCAGGCTGAAGTGTAGTGGTGCAATCATGGCATCATGGCTCACTGCAGGCTCTAACTCCCAGGCTCAAAAAATCCTTGGGCCTCTGCCTCCCAACCAGCTGGAACTATAGGCATGGCACCATCATGCCCAGATAATTGTTTTATTTTTATCTTTTGTCGAGATGGGGTCCCGTATCCAGACCAGTCCTGGGCTCCTAGGCTGGTCTAGAACTCTTGGTCTCTGGCAATCCTCCCACATTAGTGTCCCAAAGTACTGAGATTATAGGCATGAGCCACTGTGACTGTCCCAGATGTTCTTTTTCTAATTATTCTTAGCTTCTTAGGCTATACCGTTAAATGCTAAGTTGTTTTTTTTTTATTTTTTTCATTAGCCTGACTTGTTAACTCAGACATCTGTGAGAAACATGTTCCAATTTTATTAGAAGGAAGATAAACATTTTGTTCTTGCTTGTATAGTAGTATAATGAATTGACATATTATCTGGGGTGTTTTTTATTTCTCTGAATTTACTCTCATCCTGTACCATCTCTAATCTGGCCCATTATAGTCCTACTCAGGAGTTGTAAGACTAAAATCTTACATCATAATCTCAAATACCATTAATTCAGGTATAAGAAAAAGATTTAACAGGGGACTGTGTTAAGTTAGGAGACGTTTCCTGATTCCCCGCTAAGACTGAAGATACCATGAGCTGGGAGGGAAAGAGACTTGGGGAGAAAGTTGATAATAAAGCAAGAAAGACATGAGTGAATGTTGGGTGTGTGGAAACCTTTGCCAAGTACCCACTTTCTTCAACTCAATCCTAGGAGCAATAAAACCCCCAGATAGGTTAAGGATCCCAGAATAGGAAATATGTATACCACCTTCTTTTCTAAGATGATGCCTGCAAAGACAGCAAACTATGTCATATGCGTAGGTGCAAAAGGGCTGAAGATAACCTCTGTCTCCCACTACCATAAATGGGGTACAGAAGTGTTCAGGAATTCATGGATTACTAAAAGAGGCATGGAAACTACCAATGGACCTCCAAGATGGTCCTGTGGCTGTAAAAATTATGTGGCTGATACAGAGGATATGGAAGGAAACATAAAGTTGGCAAGCAGATGAGGAGGTCTTTACATTTCTGTAGATGTCATGATGGAAAAAGAGTACACTGAAGGACCAGATAGAACAGGTGTTTATTAAAACAGATAAGACTATATGATTCCACTTTTATGAACTTTTAAAACTCACCATGTATATGTAAAAGTAGAAAATAATTGACTTGAAGGATACATGTTACCTTCATGGTAGTGGTTGACTCTTTTGCAAAAGAACAACTTAAAATAAGTATGACAGAATGTTAAGACATATATACTGGTGTAAGTTTTTAAT